CTGCCTTTTAAGAGCTCCGATAACAGATTTAGGTTAGATTGCCATTTCCAGCCCCTGCCTGGCTGGTGCTGCCAGCTGCGTGCCATCGCTGTCCCTGCTGTCACCAACCACTGGCTCCCACCACAGGGAGACCTCACTTGTGTGCCAGTCTCTGGGGTCACTCATCAACCTGCCAGTGCTGGGAGAAATTATTCCTTTTTATATGGGATAAAAGAAGTGGCAAGGAGCAAAACCCACATTTGAATATGCCTGGATGACTTTTCTGCACTGTATATTCTCATTTTAACAGTTTTCTTCTTCCCTTTATTTCCAAAAAGGTTTCCAAACAGGCTTCTTCCTCACTGACAGCTGGAAGCTGCCCAGGTGAACCCCAAGGCCCTGTTAAGGGGGCTCCTCCCTGGCACAGTGCTCAGAGCTCGGGGGCCAGAGCTGCTCGGGACAGGGCTGCTGCCAGGTTTGGTGCCAGCCTGGAGCAGGTCCAGCTCTGCCCCATCAGCAGGCTGCACCTGAGCAGAGAGGTGATAAATGAGGGGTGTAAGGACCCACTCTCCATCCGTGCATTGACAGCTGTGTCCCCTTCCCACAGCCCCTCCAGAGGGACGAAGAGGAGCAGCGATGGAGCAGGGGCTGAGCAGGGCTGGGGGCACAGAGTGCCACCCCTCGACAGACTCAGAGCCCCGAACCCTTTGCAGGTGGCTTGGGCAGCCAGCACTGCTTTACAGCTGTGCCCTGCTCCGGGCTGCTCTGGTCACTGCAGGCTCAGCTGAACGGGCTTCTGGAGCTGAGCCAGGGCCATGAGACCCGTGTGTGGCCCCAGCGTGCCAGGGCCCCTCTCCTGGCAGCACGTGCATCCCTGTGATGAGCAAAGCCATCCTAGGAGAAACCTGCTCCTGGTTCCAGTGGGGCTTCTCTGTGCTGGGGACGTTTCCTCCCTGTCCCAGCAGCTGAGTCCAGCCCTGCCTCATCCCAGCATCACCCTGGGTGAAACTCCTCCACCTCACAGTGACATCAGACTCCCACATTACGAAATGATCCTGTTGACTCTGTCGAATCTCCTCTGAGGTTTTCCTAGGGCAATTGCCACTCGAAGGAAATAAAGTCATGAGCAAAACTTGGCCCACTCCTGGAAGCTCCAGGGTCAGATATGGGCTGCAAACCATGCTGACACTACCAGCTGATGACACCGTGATTGCTCAGCACTTTCTCTCCTGGGACACACCAGTCACTCCTCTTTGATGACCAGCTGCTCACCTGCCATCTCCCCTGAACCCTGAGGGAAAAGCCTAGTTTTCCAAAGGAGACATCTACAGTTTCTAGTGGTATTTTTGCAAATGAGAGGAATTCCTTTTATTACCTCATAAGTTTACAGGTTGGCAGTTTGAAAAGTGGAGCAGCCACGTGTCAGAGAGCAAGAAAAGCCTGTCTCAAGGTGGGGTCAGATGCTCTTGCTGCTGGGGCTGTGCAGGGCCAGTGGCCAGGGCACTCGGTGCCAGCTCCAGCGCCCGGCTCCAGCCCACGCAGGCGCCTGCGGGTCTCCAGCGCAGCGGGCAGCGGCAGCGGGCAGCGCTCAGGAGTATTTATTTACAGTCTGGGAGCTCAGATAGCGCTGGCCTGACTCTGTGCCGGGTGCCAGGCACTCTGCTCCTGCTCTCCTGCCCAACCCCGAGCTCCCCTCTGCTCTGCAGCCGGGCTGGGACAGCTGGGGGTGCTCACCTGGAGAGGAGCAGCTCCAGGGAGAGCTCAGAGCCCTGCCGGGGTCTGAAGGGGCTCCAGGAGAGCTGCAGAGGGACTGGGGACAAGGCATGGAGGGACAGGACCCAGGGAATGGCTCCCACTGCCAGAGGGCAGGGATGGATGGGATTTTGGAAAGAAATCCTTCCCTGGGAGGGTGGGGAGGCCCTGGCACAGGGTGCCCAGGGCTTGGAGCAGCCTGAGGTAGTGGAAGGTGTCCCTGCCCAGGGCAGGGGGTGAAATGAAGTGGGCTTGAAGGTCCCTTCCAACTCAAACCAGTCCATGATCCTGCGGTTCCCGTGATGTCTCTCTCTCCCTCTCTCTCCTGGGACAATCACAAGCCGTGCTCCTCATGTGCCAGTCAGGTCACATTGCTGAATTCACTTTGCTGCTTGGGACAGTAAGAGGAGCAAACCCCCAAGAGCACAACGCCATCCCCTGGAATGCTGCGAGCACTCTGCCTCACTGGGAGCGCCGTCCTGGGGGAGATGGCACGTTTCCAGTACCAAACCAAACACTGAACTACTCCAGGAAGATGCGGTTTGCTCCCATTCTCTTTTATCAGGGAGATTAAAGGAAACCCCAGTGTAAATAAAAGTTAAATCCGAATTAGTACCCCTTGCCGCACGCCGGGTACACCCCAAATCCCTGCCCAGCACGAAACCTGCCCCGCTGCTGCACAGCCGGCAGCGGTCGGTGACCTCAGGCGCGCAGCAGCGCGAAAGGCGCCAGGAGCAGCCCGGTCCAGCCGCTCCCCTGGGCCCGGACCCTGCCCGGGGATGCCCAGGGCGCTGGAGATGCCCTCGCAGCGAAGGGACCGGCCAGCAGCGGCCCCGCACCCCGGCCCGCCCCCGGCCCCGCTGCCCCGTACCTGCCGCCCGCGCGGTCCGGCAGCGCTCCCGCCGACACCGGCACCGGCGCCGCCGCCCCCGGCCCGCCCCGGCCCGCCCCGGCCGCACGGGCCCGCCTCCCGCCCCTCCCGGGCTGGTCCCGGTTCCTCGGGACGCTCCTGGGGCTCGCTCCGAGCGCATCCCCGGGAGCGCCGCCTGGCTCGGCGGGCCGGGGCCGCCTGGCGCAGCCTGGCACCGGGGGCACGAACCTCGCAGAATCTCGGAATCACCCGGCAGGAAGGGACTTGGGAACGCAGAATCCTGGCACGGCTGGGGCTGGAGGGGACCTTTAGAGCTCCCCCCGTTCCACCCTCTGTCCTGAGCAGGGACACCTTCCCCTGTCCCGGGCTGTCCCAGCCCTGTCCAGCCTGGCCTGGGACACTGCCAGGGACCCAGGAACAGCCACGGCTGCTCTGGGCACCCTGTGCCAGGCCTGCCCACCCTCCCAGGGAAGGATTTCTTTCCAATATCCCATCCATCCCTGCCCTCTGGCAGCGGGAAGCCATTCCCCCTCATCCCATCACCTCACTGCTTTGTCTTCCCTGGTGCCACCTGCCCCTGGTGCCAGGCTTTTGGCATGGGTGAAATAAATGCAGGTGAGGTACATTAGGGTTTCAAAATAGTTTTATAAGCTGTTTTAGAAAGATCCTAGAATATTTTTTTCTATTTTAAAGTAAGAATAAAATCTTATAATCTTGGCAAAGGCTGCCTAGGACAGTAGCGGAATCACCAGCCCTGGAGGGATTTAAAAGCCATGAGGATGTGGCACTTGGGGACAAGAGTTAATGGTGGCCTTGGCAGTGCTGGGGAAATGGTTGGACTCGATGATCTTAGAGGGCTTTTCCAACCTGAATGATTCTTTGGTTCTATGTTAATTTTTTTTTCCATAAAAAGCATCCCTTCACAGCTGCTTGCTCCCCTGCCTGCTGCTGGGCACTCTCCTGGCAGGAGTTTGAACACCCCGAGCCTGTCAAGTGTGGACTGGACAAAATACTGATTTTCAAATAGAAGGGGCAGAGCTCTGCCTCAGTGGCACCAATGGACTTATCTGGACCTTGACGATCTCTTTCCAGGTGAAATGAGTGCTGCTTCAATAAAATGACAGAATGAACTAAACATGGAAGCAGCTCTTCCATTTGCTTCAGGGCTGGGAGGCAGCAGCTCAGATGGGGCCGGGGCCCTCCCAGCCCAGCCGTGGGTGATTTTCAGGGTGATTAGCATGTGCTTTGTGATTTCATGACTTAATCTCAGTATTATGTGTCTTGCAGGCTGACTCCTGTTGAAACCCTCAGGGGGCTGGAGAGACATGCCCCCCATTTTCTGTGTTCTCCTAGCCCAGGGCCAGCCCAGTGTGGCCCAGCACAGCTGTACAAACACATTTGTGGGTAAAATCTTGAGCATCTTGAGCAAAGTGGGAGACGTCAGCTCCTCCCAACAGAACAGTGAACATGTACAAACCTCCTTGGAACCATAAATCACTGCTAAGGGCAGAGCATTGTACAGGGGAGTGATTGCCTCTTGCTAGGAGAGGTAATGGCAGATTCTTGTTCAATCAGGACTTGGTCAGACTTTCCCAAATGTCCCCGTGTTCTGTTATTTGGGAACAAAAGGGATTTTTATTTTTAACTGGCACAAGTGTACCTTGTGCCATTGTGTCAGGAGTGGAATGTGGGGTTGTGTTTGAGGAGTATCTCCAAGGGAAGCTGGAATGAGCAGGTTTGATGGACGAGGACCTGCCGGGTTCCTCTGTCCTGTCACAGTGATTGCCCTGCTCTGGCCATGCTCTCCCAGAGAACAATGTCTGTAACCAGCCCTGGCAGCTCTGGCCTGGAAATGGAGCGGGTGGTGTTGGTTCCAGGGTTCGGAACATCAGCTGTGCAGCCAGCAAAGACAAATGACCTTGAGCTGGCTTGACTTGCCATCATCTCTCAATTGTTTATGAGGAAGTTTATTTCATAACAAAAGCCTCCTGCTGAAAATACAGCTGAAACACCACAGGAAGCTCCCCTGCATCCCAGGCATTGTTTTCCCAGCGGTGTGTTGTGCTGGCATGATGCACTGCTGACAGCAGCTAAATACAGCTGGGACACCAGATCCACGGGGAAAATCAGCCCTGAAAGTGACTCCATCTGCCCGAGCCACCACGTTTCAAAAATATCCCTGCACGGGGAGGCTGACCCTGCTCCTGCCCCTGCTCCTGCCCCTGTCCCTGTCCCTGTCTCTGTCCCTGTCCCTGTCCCTGTCCCTGTCCCTGTCCCTGCTCCTGCTCCTGTCCCTGTCCCTGTCCCTGTCCCTGTCCCTGTCCCTGTCCCTCTCCCTCTCCCTCTCCCTGCCCCTCTCCCTGTTCCTTTCCCTGTCCCTGTCCCTGTCCCTCTCCCTCTCCCTCTCCCTCTCCCTGTTCCTGTCCCTGTCCCTCTGTCCCTGCCCCTCTCCCTGTTCCTTTCCCTGTCCCTCTGTCCCTGCCCCTCTCCCTGCCTCTGCCCAGGGAGCCGGGCATCCGGCACCGGCTCACCCAGAGGTGATTGCCCTTGCCCGGTTCATGGTGTGCACTTCCAGAGACACGCTGTCACTAAGTGAGATGGAGTCATTTAGTTGTGACCAGTAAAACCCCATGAAGTGACAGTGAGCATCTCACAACCACCCTGTGCCGGAGCTGTGTCAAACCTGTTAACTGGCCTGTGTTTGCGTTACAAAGATCAGGCAGTAAAACCCAGACTGGTTTTGTTTTACAAGCCCAAGAGGGAGGGAAGGGGCCCCGCGGCTCCTGCTGGCCTGGCACAGCTCGGTGGCCGGTGGCCGTGGTGGCCGCAGTGAGGGTTTGCTCCGTGCCAGGGCTGTGGCACTGCCGCCTCTGCCTCTGCCAGCCAAGCTGTGGCTGCAGGAGGGAGGCATGGGGCAAACTCCTCTGGGGCCCAGCTTCCTCAGCCCCGGCACGGTGACCTGGGCACCGAGTTCCCGTTCACCTGCCGGTGACACTGGGCAGGTTCAGGGCAGCACTGTAGGATTTGTCACTGGGGGGTTTCCCCTGACCAGCTCTGGAACTCATTGTGACAGAGAATTAATTGCACTCATCTGCCTTTTCCGCTGTACAAGTTTACTGGGAAAAAATATCCCTCCTGCTGTGACTCCAGCATCTTGGGATGTGGCAGCTCAGGTGCAGCCCGGTGCTCTGGATGCCCCCAGGCTGGGAGTGCCAGGTGACTCCAGCAGGATGCAGCAATGTAAATGTGCCCTGGGCTGGTGCTTTATGGTCCCCTCCCATGTCCTGGGGCAAATGTGAACTATTTTGTGACTGATGACATTTTATAACAAGACTAGAGCTGATTTATAACGAGACCAGGAGTGATTACCCCTGTGTACCCAGGGGAACAGGTTGTACCTTTCAGGATTCATTATGTAAACTTGGGTGAGAAGGTCTTAAAACCCAGAAGGAGGCAGTGGAGTGAGAGGCGTTGTGACAACAGGGTGATTCACCCGGCTGGAGCCGGCTGCCACCTCCGCCGTGTCCTGGGTGATCACATCCCGCCAGGCCGGCGCTGGGCTCTGCTGCAGGTGAATAAATACAGAAAACACATGTTTTTAATCCCTAGAAACACATTTGGACAAAGCACACGAGTGGAAGAGAGAGATGTGGCCCCGTATCCCACACCCCACACCTGGTGCTGGATGGGGCCTGGCTGGCTCAGCTGCTCGGGGCTTGGCAGGTTGGGGTTGGGTTTTTGCCACTCGTCCCAACAGTGTCCCCTTGTGTACTCTATACCTCACAGCTTTGGGGACGCTGCTGAGGGCAAGGCTGCTGGGGTGGCAGTGCCACCATGGCCCTGGGGGGCTGGCGGGCCTGGCAGCCACATACCCAGCCGTGAGGGGCTCAGGTCCCGACAGGGTACAGCTCCCAGCCAGCTCCTGCTGCAGGCAAACCGGGGGAGAAGTGTAGGACTGGGAGGGACGAGGCAGTGCAGGAGTGTTACAGGAAAGTGCCGAGGCCTGGGTGAAGATTGCAGAGGACAGAGAGGCAGGAACACTCTGTCCACAGGCCTGGGGCCAGGTGTGTTTCCTGCTGACGCCCCCGGCTGTGTTACAGGCAGGCCAGGGAGCAGGCATGGCTGCAGGTCAGCATCCCGGGCCCAGGCTGCCCGCGGGGCCGGCAGGGAGGCCACAGGGACCAGGACAGGACTGGAGAGCCCCTGCCTCCACCAGCACCACCCAGGGCCTTCACCGCCCAGCCACGTGCCAGGACCAGGTCACCTTCAGTCCACGGTGTCCTGGAGAGGGGTGACCAGCCGGGTGGGACATCACCCTGGAGAGGGGTGACCAGCCGGGTGGGATGGGTGCGGGCCGTGCCAGCGCTGCCCACAGCTGGAGGGGCACAGCAGGGTCAGTGCAGTCCTCGATGGCAGTGCCAAGCTGGGCAGCGGTTTCTGTTCCCCCTCCCGCCTTGGGCACTGCTCGCTCAGTCTCGTTGCAGGGTGAGCCGTGCCGTGTGTGCCAGGGCGTGTGGGCAGCTGGCCCCGCACGTCCCGGCCCGTCCTGCTGGCAGGGAGATGCCGGCATCGGGATTAGCGTGGGGCCGTGCCGTGGCATGTCACTGTGGGGGAACTGCTGCACCCCTGGGTCACACTGACTCACCCGGCCTCGGCTGGGGCTGCTCCAGCTGCTGGAGAATGCTCCCAAGGTGCCAGCACAGCCCGGGCTGGTGGGGATGGCTCGGGCAGTGCCCGGGGTGGGGAGCTGCTCCGGGGCTGGGGCTGGGGGCTTGCTCCCCCTGCCCTGGAGGTGAGGGGGCAGAACAGAGCCATCCACACTGCCCAGCCGTGTTTGGCCTCCCCAGAGCTGGGCTTGAGCTCAAGGGGCTCAGAGCCTCGATGGATTTTCCATTTCCATAGGCATGTGCTGGAGATACCTTTCCCCAGCCCAGCCCCATTTACATTAATGAGGCATTTAACTCCCAAACCTGTTTGTGGGCCATCGGATGTCACCCAGATGTCACCTCTCGGAACGGACTTGGGCAGTTTTTAACCCTGTCGGTGC